TCCTACGTAAACCGATTCTTACAACCTCCATACTCTCCATACTCCATAGATCTCCATACATCCGGAATACGGTATCCTAGCGAATACTTGATCGATGGCACTGATTAGTTTTAATTGAGAAATTTTCGTCGCTACAGGAATAAGTCAACTTTGTCTGAGCAAGGGGTTGTCCAAGGTGCTCGAATAAAAAATAACAGGTGAGGAAAAGTTGTGAAAATCGGTTTACGTAGGATCAGTACCTCAGCTCGGTTTCCGCCGCAACATATGTGCTGTAACACATCCATTCTCTTGATAACAATGGTCGTAGCTGCGCAAATTGGCCTACCTTTCGCGAACACCCGCCTCCTTGTTTTACAATAAATGAGCTCTCATTTCGCGGTATCGAGATCTGAGTGTTCTTACCTTGGAAGTATGAAGATGGATAAAAGCATAGCTCCGAGCTTTTCATGGAATGCATAAGCTTTGTGTTGAAAAAACTGTTTTCAAGCCTTTGTGACACTTTGACGTGACAATTTGCAAGCGTTATTGTATAACAACCACTGCAGCAAAAGGCTCATAATCATGTGTTCACAATCAATCTAAATATGCCTACAGAAGCATGAAGGTATTGAAGTCTCTTGATAAAATCAGGATGTTTTTCTTCATTCGCCTGATTTGCCACGTCATTTTGGAGCATACGGCAATAGAAGATCGTGATATTAATCAAGTTGCATGTCCTTTTAATAATACTCACTTCCAACTTCAGGAGAAAAACTAGGGGGTCGTTGAGGATTCACAGAATCATTGAAATTTTCCGAGCTGTCAAAGTATTTTGCCACGTCGATTTTTTACGTCGCGTATTTAAGAGACACAGGTCAGTGTGAAATGTGTCAAGATGTTTCTGTGCAATACGTTCTTTGCATTGACAGTCAGTTCGCTTTCTCTAACGAATTTCCAAGAAAATTGTTTAGAATAAATAAACAGGTTTTGGTGTCTTCGGTGGCTCCAGTCCCTGTCGAATCAACAACGAAAGCCGTTCAAGATGGTGAGTAGCCCTATGTACAAGTTATGCTTTCTAAAAAGTTTCGGGAGAAATAGATATGCTACTATACAGTTCTCAACCACCAAAACCTTTTGACCACTTTTCGAATTTCTTGATGGATCACCGATAAAGTAGTCTAGCTAGGCATGCAAGGAGCATAACACTTATGACTAATTGTAAGTAATGCACAAGTAACGTACTCGCTAGAAGTGCTATTTTTACAATAATTTTGAGCTTTGGGGGCTACACGGGGCCTTGTCTTCATCAGTGGATTAGATCACGGTCAGTACGATCACACTCACTAGCGATCTCTTTCAATACAGGATCATATAACAAGAAGAGAGCCGAGTCCTGTTGAAGCAACTAGGAGGTATCAATGGCTGCCTCATACAAGGCCAGTGAAGTGAAAGGTATCGTCCAACTCAATGACAACCCTATGAAACTAGCTCATAAGGGATCCAGTGAGAAGTAAGCACTTTTTGAGGCTTGCATAGAATGAATCTTGAAATAGCGACGGGAAGCAAATGGGGTATGAAAACGTTGGTGGTAAGTGAAAAAATAAATCAAAAACTGCCTCCGCACTGACTGAACTTCCCTCGCTACAAAATCAACACAATAGCGTAACAGTGTGTCCTGCTTTTTTGGCTACCGCTTTGATAACCCCCAAAATGTTCATGTTTCTAATACCCAATATTCTCGACTTGTCGTCCATGAATTTCTGTTAGACCTTTTCCGTAGGTGTAGTATTCAGAAAGATTTCTTTCGAGTGAGCTGCTCAACTAGGAAACATTGCAGAATTTAATTGCAAAATCAGTGGCACTACCATGACACCAGAAAAACGAAAACTTTCGATGTATCTGGCCAACGCTTATCGTACAATCGCAACGACCGGAGTATTTGGGTATCCACCTAGTCAGAACATGTATCAGCTGGTAAGTAGATGTTCGACGACGTGAATGCAGTGATATGCACGGAATCAAGAAATGAATCAACAGCCACAAGTAGAGTTAAAACTCTCTGAAGACACGAACAAACACGTCTTTGTGCTAGTGAGATTTGAAGCCCATTGCAACAAATAGAATTTTCTAGACTTGTGCATGTTGCACTGTGCTACAAATATCCATGCCGCTGGTAGACTGCAAACCGCTACGCTCAACTATACAGGGCGTCGATGGCTGTAGCTAAATTTCAGGGTCTGCTAAAAAATTAGTGCCGAGCAAAAAACTTTTTAGAATTATTCTTGCACGGCTAAGGAATACGCAATGATGGTCTGCAATCAACAAGCACCACTCAATACTGTTGGGTACTCTATTTTTTGTAGCTTTGTTAAATGGTAGAGCTCGTTGGAAAACAAGGTCTTTCACAATTGAATTTGGTTGAACTACAAAATTATATCTTCCATGTACCGTATCCCACAAAAGATTGGGATCAGGAATTACAATTCAGAAAGCTGTCCTCATGAGTAATAAGAAAACAAAACGAATTCTTGAAAGCAATTACGGCAACTACTATCACGTTTCCAGCACAGCCATGACTTACTTCGGTATGATCTATGAAGTCGGATCTGGTCCATGTATGGTTGACAGCGACTGCACCACGTTCTCTGGTTCAACGTGCAACACGAAAAATGGACTGTGTGTTAAGAACCCAAGCACTCCTCTTTGCCCGCCAAACGTATAACAAGCCCACTCACACAACTACAGCAAGCACAACTGCTTCCATTGCTGTTTGCTTCACAAAATCATTTTTATATCCAAAAGAATAAACAGTGTATCGCATGGAGACGAGTATTTTTGCGGTGCTTCATGCCGGGCGTACTCGAATACAGTAACGGCAACTGTTTTGCAAGCACAAAATCTGAACAGAAAGATAAGGGGAGAGTGAAAGAGGAAGAGATGAGGTACTCCGTGTGTGCGGCTTGTCGGTAAAGCAAAAGCAATACAATAAGCAAGGTAAGATAGCGCTTCTCTACTGCGACCATGAGAAGACGAGTACAAAGCCAAGGCTTTGTAGACAACTACCATTAAGCTTCCTATATCCACCCTGCGCGCATTAGGTATTCTGAGATCTGAAATGGTTCCCAGATGAAGTCGCTGATCCTCAGCCTACACAAGGACGACGGTAACAGATACTGGCAGCTAATATAGTGTTCGAAATGAGTCGCTGAGCAGGATTACCCCCCATGGCGTGGCCTCGTTGGTAGAAGGTATAACTATACAGGGTGGAGTTGAATTATGTAAATTCTGCGGTTGTTTCATCCCTTGCAGCAACTGCCTGCTTTCGAAACATTTGGTTAAGTGAGGCAATGGCTATATAGAGGGTGGTTTCCACTTTAATGAACCTTTTCTAACATGTCAGAGTCGGGTGCCTCCCATAGTTCACTTCCTATCCTCCTCCTTACTCCCCTCGAACTTGGCTACTAAGTAAGTAAGCGGCTAAGTAGGCTGTTTGAAGGCAAGAGGGCAGGATGTTAAACGTAATCTATCCTTCAACTGGAGGTGATCCTTAGATAACATAAACTTCCTTGTTCAGAGTCTCTTCAGTATGTATTAAATGCTACCCACAAAACAAATGCAAAACTGCCATCTAAAGATAAAAACAACTATTCATCACCAGAAAAAAACGGTATAAAAAGCTGGCCTCGACACGAAAAGTTGGCAAACTGTTGGTAATGTTCGTACTAGTGCTTATATTCATTGATGCCTCAGATGGCTACAGGTAATGTGGAAGTTTGAACCGTACAATATCACAAATATCATCACCAACAGAATCGACAATTATGGAAGGATTTTATAGATTGAGGACAGGATAGGATGAAGACGTTCGGAATGATTAGTCATAAAGAGCAGCCAGAGCTCCCAATCGCCCAGGAGCTCCTGTCACTCCTCCACCTGTTAAGTGAAATTCTATTAAAGACATGCTGCACTCGGAATTTCTGTTTCTTCACCTGGATGCGCTCCACTTCCACAAAGGAATAGTCCTTTGATCGGCGTCCTAAAGTTGCTGTACCGTGGAACTGGCCGGGTGAAATACAATTGGTCGAGGGTCATAGAACCATGGAAAATGTTCTAAAAAACAATTACGACTCATCTGTAAAGGCTATGAGTATACTGTTTGCAATCAACCGATAAGTGGGATATTATGATAGTGAAGGTGGATCAGAGGAAAATAAGATGACGTCTGACGGTTTCGAGAGCTAGCGAAAAGTTAGTAGGGGCTAAACAGTAAAACCTCTGAGATCCGCGCCGCCTGCAAGAAATGGAGATGGTTTCCAACCAGAAAGAGAGTTTTGAATTCAGCAACGATCGGGTGTGGTGAGAAACAGAAGGCAGCAATGACGGCAAGAAGATTACAAAGAGGACTCAGATAAAATGAGAGATACATACATTTTACACCTCGAAATATGACTGCGAGAAAACCTGTAGGAACATTACGCAGTTCTTTCCAAGCCTAAATAATTTTCACCGGCAAAAGGGAACTACATATTATATCTGGTGGACTTTCAACAAACCCATTTGGGTCTTTCTCTTAGAAATATGTAGCGGCTCCCTTGTTCCTTGACTGTCCATCTTTCAAAATTTTGTGATCACCAGATAGACATAGTCAAATATTCTTACCCCTCCTGTGAGTCCGAAGATCCGTTCGATGTCTGGTGGTGGTAGAACTTCGTAACCGATAACAGAACCCGAAAAGTTCGGAGCGTAGCAGTCTATTTCGTTGAACACTGAAAAGTTTCTCCGGAAGTATTGTCTGCAAAAATTCAAAATAATTGCACAGTATTTGTCTACGTCTAATTTGATTAGCAGCTTTAATTGGAGTTCGATGCAGATTAAAGATTTCCACAGAATGAAATTCACTAGTGCCAAATGAACTGGAAAAGTAAGATAACTACGCTTTACTATTAATTCTTCATTAAAGGTTCTCTTGAATTGCTCTGATGCGCCTTATATACACAATTCATTATTTGCCATTAACCTAGATGTAACTCTTTTACGGGGCTCTTTCATCTTCATTCCCTGAAGGAGCCAAAAATCTACGTTGAAGAGAAAAGGTGAGAGTGGTTATAGAACATCAGTTGAAAGAACAACCACATGCAGCTGGCCAACACCAAACCTTTCCAAAAATAACATGCTCTCTAGGGTTGAGCTGATCCACTGAATGATCCCTCGAAGTCTAGGCTGTGGATTAATCCTACTTGAGAATGCGTCTGTTGGACATTTTAGATTTCGAATGAACATTCATTCGAAATCTAAGAGGCGTTCGAATCCCTGTTTGATCTATGTACAATAAAAATTTCGGAGATCAGCCCGTGTACATGTCGACAGTGTTATTTACACAAGCAATTACAATAACATTTCATTGGGCACGTAATGAATGGGATCAATACGTATTTGAGGTTGAATGAGTCGATGGAATGCACCGATTGAATCGCTTGTGATTTAGATAGTGTTGAAATCTATTAGTTTGGCAACTCTCCCATTATTAAGCTAAACCACATGACTTGACTGTTGAGTTTTTATATGTACATGCCTACATGGGTGGGAAACGAATACCGTGAGTCGCATATTGCTTCTTCTTTTCGTCGTTCCAAGGGCCCTCCTTCAAGGTGTATGGAGTGCACTGAGTGAACAACGACATTACGTGCGACGAGTCGTCTGGAACCAATGACCGATCGACCACTGACGGAATCGTCATCTCGATCACGGGCCTAACATGAAAAGCATTTCCTGTGGCTCTGCAAGTGGGAGGATACTCACCTTTGGCTCCACTGACCATTACGAAAATCTTTGACGCCTTCATGGACGACATCCATGCTCTCGCAGTTGATGTGAATTGTTGTCTGATGATGAGGCTGTGGAGCAGGCGAAGTGTTGGGTCGACACGAAAATGAGGGCAGTTCACGCACGGCTACTGGAAATTTTCGGAATTTGGATTCTACTTCTTTCGTGATGAATCGTAAGCCTAACCGTTTATCTTCGTTACAGGAGATGTGTAGTCAATCGACTTCACCGCGTTGATAAATTTCAGAGGCAGGTCGGACTAGAAAAATGCTGTTCTGGTTAGTTTCGTAAGCAGTAAGTGAGATAGAACAAACCTACTTCTTTCAGTAACCGCTCGAAGGTTACTCTTGGTGTGGCGTTTGACAGAACCGTTTTAGCATGAACTTCTTTACCACTAGTGAGTCTGACTCCCTTAGCTTCACCGTTGTCTACCAAAATGCACGCTACTTCCTGAAAAGAAATCTATTAAGTTCCTCATGGACTTCATTTTATTTCTTTAATTATCAGGATTCAAAAGCATGTACATAAAGTCTTCTCTCGTCGAATGGAAGAAAACGTCATGGTAGCCAATCTTCCCTTTTCTGTTACTATGTGATGGCCTGTTACTAGATGTCGAACGAGGTTCAGCAACTCTAAGGACAGATGGCATCGATGAGTGTCTACTATGGCGACAGTCTAGTGAGGAAGAATAAAAGACACAATACAAAATGACAGACGAATTCAGTGAAGTGCCAAGTGATATTATCACACACACGCTCCGGGGACAGAATCTAAGGTTGATCCCAAAAAATCCAAATCCCAAAGAATTCCAAAAAAATCGAGCCCTTCGTTGATTGAAATGTACGAGACTTGACTAGGAGGATGAATGAACTGATTTTTACATCGGCTAGTCGTCGCAACTCATTTTGAAGGCCACAAGTGCATCCCAATAGCTACTACGATTTTGAACGGAGGTTCGGGACGCAATCACACGGGACTGATGAGAGCTGCAGGCTTCATCGTAATGAATTTACTCAGAGCTAGAAGAAAGGGAATCAAATGGTGTTCTCAACTACTCCATGAATGCACGTTTGAAAGGTAGTCATCTGCTTAAGAGATCACGATAATTCGAAGGTACACTTTTCGAGATGAAAGCGGAATCGTTGGTGGAAAATAGTGCAGTGACGGCAAAGAAAGCAAGAAAATCCGAAGAAGCTTGAAGTGTAAGAGTTCCTGAGAGTATTAAAATACAAGGTGTTCGAGGTCATCAAGAAGGAAATGGTATAGGGAGGAGGTGTTTGAAAGAGATTTCAGTCGTGTGCAGTAGCGCAAAGAAATGGTATGGCAACAATGGCGTAAAGAATGGCAAGAAATGCTTTAAACTGTCGCCAATGCCACCATCAGTTGTTGGAATCTGTTCTGAATTGTCACTACTTGTGCTCCATTGTGAATGGAGCAGCCTATCAAGCGCCGTTGGAACACGTCTTTGGAACAGCGCCGTCTTTTGGATGCGGGCTTCGACGGAATCATTCTTTGAGTCCTTATTCTGCCCGTCTTTGAGTCCTTTTACTGCCCTATCCTAGGTCGTTTTTCATTCCAACAAAGCCACGTATGGCATAGTTGCGGGCAGCAGTTTCGTCATAGTTGGCAAATCTCGGAAGTAGTGCAAATACAAACAATAACAAACTGTGCATTTTTATGGACATTAATCAGTACATACGCGATGAGCTAGCCTTTTGCTTATCAAAACTACTACTTCCTTGTTCATCTTTTTCACTTGCTTGCTCTCGCAATCTTCTGCTCTGAAGCATGAATGAGAATCGAAACTCGTACCTGATCAGTGAACAGCTCAGCACCGTGACTTCTTGCAGCTTTCCCAATGGCCTCGGACAACTAGAAATGTGAGTAATATTGTAAGTATCAGACTAACAATGTTTGCTGCACAGTACTGATGCAGCGCGATGCAAAATGATAAAACCCCTCAAAATGACGAGGAACTGATGGCTAACGCAATGAGTAATACAACGTTTACGATCAGAATATATTGCTCACGGCTATTACTGAGACTGCTAGTTATATGACGAGATCAAATTGATGACTGGAAGCAAACTATGAAAAGAATTATAATGCAGAAAGCATTGGTTTCAGTAACCGAGAGTGCCACCATTCTGCTGAACAACGTCAACCCAATCAAAGAGGGATAGTTCTGTGGAGGGATTGATGCCGTCTGAGCTTAGAACATAGAGAACAATCCTTCCTAGATGGCTTTCTTGGTCTTCCTAGTCCATTCCCAATACTGCATGTAGGAACATTCTTGCCGTAGTTTGCAACGACCTTCCTTAAATGTAGGACAACGCCTGATTTCCCCTGATGAAGCGTTGAGATTCATTTAGAGTCGATAGTTGGCTCTTTTCTACGAGGAGCAAGTAGCGGCCTTCAGAATGATGCTGACACACCTCCTTTCATATCCGTTCATACTGCTGAGTAGGTGGAAAAGGTGGGGGTGGAGGTGGAGGAGGGAGGAGGGGTTGGGAGATAGAGATGATCAAATCAAAATTTGGACAATAAGCAATATTCTCCTGGATGCCCCACTTGGACCGCGCTCAAATGCAAGAATTCCATGTTGACCAATGGAAAATGTATTGAATAACTCGTCAGCTTGTAAGTTTGGACTTTTCGTTCCAATCGTGTGTGCTGCGAGAAAGGATCTTGTTCAATAACATGAGGAGGGTAATTAGGCTGTCAAAAAAAAACAACTTTTTCTAACCTTTCCAAACACATTTAACCAATCTAATCCGACTTTTGGATTCATGTCAAGTTCTCCGCCTTACACATCACCGTTTTAGTGAGCTTCGCACGATCTTGTAACAAAAAAGCAATTTTGAGAAGCACCCTAATCGTTCTGCATCGCGCTGTTTAGGCGAGTTAACAGAGATTCTCACCGCTCCCATGCCGCCCATCACATATCCCCATGAACCGGAGTGATTGTCCAGTCCTCCCAAGACGTGATGAAGTAAAACGTAGCTGAACTACATATAATTATTATTGTTTCGGTATATTGGAAGTTAATCGCTTCAGCGACCCCGTTCCAGAATCGTAAGGGCTGGCAGCGAAGCCAATCACTCCATCCGTACCTAACGTGGCCTTCAGCACATCGCTCTCAAACCACTTGTTCATCACCTAAATAGAAGCGAAAAGGCAGTAGCAGACAGAATAGAGTAGAAGAAAGCGAAATGTGACGGGATCTTGAGAACTTTATTTCACCTTCGCAATAGGTGCGGTCATCAGCTCGTAGAAGTCGACAGCATTGTCAACGCCGATCCCTTGCACTGGAACTTGCGTGAATCAAAAAAAAGGAGTGGTCGTGAAAGGTAAAACTGAAAATAATGACGCTGTTGGATACTGAGCCTAAATAACCCAGAGGCTGCCTCTCTTCCAACACCAAAACTCCTATCCCAAACCTTGGGAGACAGAGCTGATTCATTTGATGTGCTTTCACACTGCCACTATACCACCTCTAGTAAAAGAACTCTTGAAAATTGTATAGCGAAGGGAATAAAGGAAATCCGTCTGCACTCCGGTTTGAGGTACTCACAGCTTTTTATGTTCGAATGCAGAAAACTGGTACAAATTTCATAGCTGGTAAGAATTCTTATTATGAATGACGAACACTGCAAAGGGGTCTGTTGGCCTTTTTGGCTTGAGTTAGATAGTTTAAGCTGTGAACTAACAAAAGTTTGAAAATAAAAGATAAAGGCATTTGGCGTCGATCAATCCCTTCTTTTGGGATCCGTCCCAGCATTCGACCTTTAATGGAAGAGTCTGGGGTTTCGAATGCGTTTGGTGCTCATATTAGGTTGACGCATAATCATTGCGGATTTTTTTCAGCAAATTTTACTTGAAGAAACGGTAGAAATATCTAGCAAAGACATGTTCAAGTAACTGCCCCTGAACATATCCACCATCTAGGTCAAGCACTGCTTCCCATTTGCTAGGCGGTCGGATTCCACAGACGAAGTTGTTTCGATTCTTGGAGGCGATCACGCCTTGACTTTGGCGAGCAAGCCATCCACTTCGTCGAAAGTTGTTTTCGTTAACCAATTTCCCAAAGGGCGATTGACGTGATAATCTATAGGAGTATCTGTTGGTGAATAGGGCTACCGCAAAAGCAATTTCCATTCCTTGATCAGCTTTGGCTGACTGTTCCATCGCCGAGAAGTTTGTTGAGATCACGTGAAGAGTGCCGCCTTCCAACATTTCTCGAAGTATTAGCATGATTTGGCGTATATAAAGATGGCTTTTTAGAGATACTTCTGTTAAGGAAAGCGAGAAGACTATTTCTACAAAAAATCCCGAATTCAAAAGTTCAATTTTATTGAGAGAAAAGGAGCCGCGAAAAATTCCGTAATAATTATGCATCAACCTAATACAGTGACTTTTGGTGGCCAGTCCATTTAAAGTTCAGTGCTTCTCAAGCCTGGTATCAATCAATCGTTATGATCGAAGGCAAAGTAGGTCTGGGCCTGTATAAATAGATGGAAAATTCGATCCCTGGACCGTTTGTATAACAGTGCATCATTTGGCAATACACCACTCGTATCCGCGAAGGTTATCTTAAAAAATAATGAGCTCACGGATCCGGTTTTTGGGAACTAAGATCGTGACATCCGTCATTCCGTAGTTTATGCAACTATTAGGTTGATGCATAATTAATGCGGATTTTTTCTACAAATTTTATTTAACGAAACAAAAAAATACTGAACAAAAACATGTTCAAATAATTACTCCGGAACTTATCCACCATCGTTAAGCACTGCTTCCCATTGGCTAGATAGTCGGATTCAAAGGCGAAGAAGCTTTGATCCTTAGAGGCGATCCACGCTTTGACATCGGCCATCAAGTCATTCAAATCGTCGTAGCTTCTATTCTCTAGCCAGTTTTTCAGCAAAAGGTTGACGTTAATCCATAAAAGTTTCTGCCGGTGAATATGATAGATTTAGAAGCAGATCCCATTTTTCAGTCGGCTTTGGCTGATTGTTCCATCGCCGAGAAGTTCGCTGAGATCGTGAAATGACTGCGCCACATTCCAACCTTTTTCGAAGTAGTAAAGCATAATTTTGCAAACATGCGGATGGTTTTCTAGAAATATTTTTGTAGAGAAAATCATGGAGATCAATTCTATTAAAAACCCATACTCATTGTTTAAATCATATCAAGAGAAAAGAAGCAGCGAAAAAATCCGCAATAATTATGCATCAACCTCAATATAATCGACTTTTCGTCGCAAAAACAAAATGCACCTGATCGGAACTGCCTCCATGCTTTCTTTAAAAACTTCATTTTAGATGGTTCGCTCATGTCTAATGGAACTTCGTCCATCAGTGGTTCAAGAGCCTTCACGATTCGTTGAATGAAATGTTCGTACCTGGGGAACATCTGAAACCACTCACTAGTTTTCGAACTCGATTTCAACAACAAAGATTGGCCTTGGTCAATTAAAGAAACTGCTCTGAATTGGGCATGCTTGCCATCTCTGAAAATTCTGCCGAAGCCTCTTCAGCATGTAGTAAGTACCTCACCTCAGCATCGCGTAAGGAAAATTTGGCTATTTCTTGGCAGTTCTCCTTCATATCTAATCCCAGCAGGAGACTTTTTTCGGATCCTCTGATAGGAGTAAACGATGACGGATTCCGAATGTGATAACGAAGCCCATGTTCCTGGAAAGAGTTGGAATACTTCAGTTGTTTTTTGTTGCCCAGTTTTCAAGTAGGTAATGCTTTTTTGCTGTTGGATCGGAATAAACAGTAACTTTACATTGGAAAATAAATAAAACTAAATATCTGTGCATCCTTACTATAAAAAGCATACTCAAGTCAGAAGTCATTTCGATTTAGTAGAGATTTACAGTTGCTCAAAGATTTTAAGCATCAGAAGCGTCGGGGCCTCAAGCACGAAGCTGTTCATAAAAGCGTGCAACCAGCTCTCATGAATTAGGTTACTTTAGCCATATCCACTGTCATTTCCCACTTCGAACATTCAGTCGGACAGAAAGTTTCTTTTTGTAAATATACGATGACCGGCGTGAGTCTCTTGAGTCCTCGGCCCACGTCAGCCGCTAGGATGAGGTCTTTGTCTGGTCGAGTTAGGATTTTACGAGCCCTATGGATTTTCAAAACAAGTTTATTTTACCCTTGTTCGGAATGACTTCTAATCATCGCAGCTCTATGTGTACTCAACTGAAGTTCCTAACAATAGTACAAATCTTAAAGTATGATGCAGAGAGGGGTGGTACTGCTATTTCCCATTTGTGTTCTCGAGAATTCGATCTATAAAAACGGTACGACCCAATAGAAGACCTGGGGAGTACGAAGGAGACCCTAAATTAGCTGATTTTACCTTCAGTTTGAGATCGTGGATGACGACAGGACGCAGAAGACTCAAGAGGTATGAAGCTCGGGAAAACTTGAAACCTTAAAAGGTCAATATCTACTATGGAAAAAGTTTCCGCAAAAAACCCTCATGTACCTGAGATGACTTCTTCAGTAACTGCTGCTCCTCCCAAGATTCCTCGCTTTTCAAGGACGCAAACATGTTTCCCAGCTCGCGCCAAGTAGGCCGCCTGCAACGCATTACAAGGGTGGCAATGAAGAATATGGGGAATGAGGCATGGGTATACCGCAGTGAGTCCATTGTGACCTCCTCCAACCACGACCACATCGTAGACGGCTTTCGGAGCTGTGGAAAAGCGTCGATTGAAAGTCAGGATTTCTCGACGCATTCTGAAAGAAGGTTCCAAAATGTTAACTATCAGATGCCAGTGAGTGCGGGGCTCAAAAAGAACTCGAGGAATTCCAATCGTACATCACTACTTAGTGATTCGGTTAGATTAATGAGAAAAAAAGTTAGTCTTTGGGCGTTGATCAATCCCGTCTTAAGGAAGCGCCTTCGCACTCGACTTCTATTCGTACGTAGTGGCGTATTGGATGCGACTGTGCTCTATACAATGATTTGCGGTGCCAGCCGATGTACAGGATAGCGCTTTCATCCTCCCAGACAAGTCTGGTACCAATTGATTGACCCCCCGGGATTCGAGCCCGCGACCATACATTTGTGATAGAGCGCCATTTGCCACCACCTCCACCCCTTTGAATTATTAAATATCTCGAAATAACAAGTTATAAACCCTCGAAAAGCTCTTTAGGAGGAAGGAATATTCTCAGGCAAATAAGTAGGCAATCTAGAAGAACTTGCCACACTTTGCAAGAGAACTTCTTGAAAGCGGGAATGATAAATAATACAGATTACGATTCTTTTTCTGGTGGGTATTTTATGTATGTTCAGAGAAAGTACGCTCATGCAAAAGAAGAGAAAGATAAGCTTGAGAATGAAAAATTCCCAAAAAAATCTATCTTTGCATCACCAAACCTTGTCGAGAGCACCAGCTTATCTTATCTACAGAACCATTAAGTGAGCCGACTACAGATGCGACTAGATACGTTCAAAGGCTGTAAACGGGGAAGTGTGATTGTCTGGATGTTATTTACTTGCAGTTCATTTTGTGAAAATCCATTCAGAGCACATATTTAGATTCACAGTTCCCGAATCACTAAATTTATTTTTATAAGCAAACAACCACGGAGAAAAACACAAAAAAACAACTAAGTCCAGTTGCTAACCTTACGAATTTCATGGAAGCCTCTCCAAAATAATGGGAACCTCTTCGAAGTCCCTTCTTCACTAGCACTCAATGAGGCACAGCATGAAAATTCATGAAGCGGGTGACAAGGAGGCGACGAGGATTCTCAAGTTACTATGGGCGGGTTGTCCGACCGATCCGATTATGGTTTCCTTCTAGTAATAGCGCCCACCTGCCCGCACCATAACCCTTAGTATCCATGTCCCTCTACGCGACACTGTTGAACAAGTTTCCAATCGGGTCACACGGTTTCTGGATAGGTGATGGCGATATGACAATATGATATGGCTTAGACAAACCAACACTAAATCAATGAGATCTGAAAGTAGAAGTCTGGCTTGCGAATATGTCGCTCCCTGGCTATAGCCTCGTCAAATCTGACGCCATCATACACATCCCAAATTCTCAGAAAATTTACTCAGCGCCTAACCTAGTCATACTGATCATGTAACATCTATAATAGAAGAAAGTTCAAGTGAAAAAAAACAAAAAAGACTTTCCTGATCCAGACAGCAACGATTTTCGTGCTATAAAATACTTCTAAACAAGCAATGCAGAAGTGGTGTAGTGCCTAGTGGCGCACTATCTTAAACATGGTCCATGGATCGAATCCTAGATTGATATCCGCCTAGATTGGCCAAGCCTCCCATCCCTCAAGACAGGTTAGATTGCCCAAAACTCGTATAGGGGTCACGAGCTCCGACCTGTGCATCGTCTGGTTACTGCAAATCATTCTGATACACGCATTCAAGCGCCACAAATGTGACTGAAAGTCGAGTGTGGGGAATAATCCCAGATAGGGGATCGATCAGTCCGAGAATACTTTTGGACCGATCTGTTCACATTAAATATTTGTGTTTATAAATATGTATATCTGGGGAGAAAATGAAAAATTTAATGACACAGCAGACAATTACAAATAGAGACCATGAATTGACTCAAGTGAATGCTGTAATGTCGGGAGCTGCTAGCAATATTTAAGCGGGTCGAAGAGCTTGCAAAGCTGAGGGGGTCATGTGTGTGTGTGTGTTTACTACAATCAACAGTCTGGAATTCATAGTTGTTTTTCCACCTTCCACTAAATCTTAGATTAACAAAACAACCAGCAAAACAAAAAAATATAACAGATTAGCAAAATTTCAATTTGTAAGTGAAACATAGGAAAAAGCATGAATTTCATCTCGGAACTAGCACTATGACATCAATTCACATTGGGGAACAATTCACATCATGGAGGCATCCAGTATCAACTCCGGAATACATAAAATCCTGAGCTCTTTTCCTTGTTTGCCTCCAATCACTTTTTTCCGTAGCGAAAATATTTTTGACTAGTACTGTCCATACTGGATATGAGCTCCACAGGCCTTGGTGCACACTCCGCCTCCCAGTTCCCTCCCTCCTTGGCCTCCCGACACTTTCCATCCGTTTCACGATTATCGTTCTACAACTTTTACTCATTTAGATGAAACTTTCAGCCTCGGTTTAAGCTCTTGCCCATGTCCTCTGCCAACACGTTCAACCCTACAGCCTATCTCCTGTGCTGCTTTGGGCCCTTGAAGCGATGTTCACAATGGCTTATCAGTCCTCACTTGAATCCCACACTGAGACAGTTACCAGGTACTAGAGGTGTTCTATAAAGATAAAGATTTCAAATAATTGGATTTTGCTTGTTCTTTTCATTTTCTTAGTAGGTACTGTTCCTGCCGCATCTCTTGAAACGAAGCAAAGCCATGTAACATATGTTTCTGATATCGAATCTCAAATGCAGAAAACGTAAATCACCTACGCCCTGCCCTCACCCACTTTTTATTGAAATGACGACTATTATAGTGCAGTGCAACCCCTACACTCTAATGACCAACTATAATAGGCATATCATCGAATTTCAAAATTTAGTGAACTGTAAGAACATAGCCTCCAACGTGGAACTGGACCGTGGACGACCTTATATACTTTCTTTTGTTACGATCTATAGCCCTCCCTCAACAGTGGCAGCTGACGATTTCCCACGTCGTTGAGCATGAGTGATTGTACGATCGGGCTTGGGAAAACCCCGCCCACTTCTATGGGAGCGGAAGAAAGAAAACGTAGTAGTGTACTTCGCAATGTGTAAGTCCATGAGAATATTGCCCGAGAAGATTACTCTCCCACAACACGTTCGTTGGGAAAAGATATGAAAGAGTCAGGTGCGATTTGGGAAAGACGTTCTGATGGGTTGTGTGGTGGATTTGAGTGTTTGTTACCGTGAAAAAGGATTCCTTTACACTTCAAGGCAGGCAAAATAATCTGCAGGGTTCACTCCCATCTTGCCCTATGACCTGGAGCGGGGTGCATCAGCAGGGAATTTCTCCTTGATAGTACCAAAGGTGTTGTTCTCGAACTAAAGGGAACAGGAGTTCGAGTGGTCCCTGTAGCAATAAAATCTTTTTTGTGCATGTTTCAGATAGGCATTTATGGCCATCCGAGCTGCCTGTCGATCGTGCTCGAAGGGTGGTATATTACGGTTGTGCTCACATTGAATTCTCACATTGACTTTCTCCTGCAACTTAGGTGGCCAGCTGAAGGTGTCAAACAATACCCCTTCTGCTGTATTTTGCAATTTGTTACCTCCCTGACACATTCCCGTGGGAGCGTCACCGAATCTCAATCACAGAAATGATCCCTAAATGGCTAGAGCTGATGTACCAACTGTGGTCATCACCACGTGGGAATTCGTTTCGAAAACTGTCATGAGTCAGAATGCTCGAATGACTGAACAGAGAAGAAATCGTCGTGTTGACCCGAGCGAGTGAACATGGGATGATAATGTCAATTGAACGTAATAAAGGGTAGCAGTGGATGCTTGTGAGTGGATTTTTCCACGAAATTTCCTGCAGTTTGTGGGTTAGGACGTCCGCAATTTCGATTGTGGATATCCTAACAAACATGTCCTAACCTTGACGACACATATCGGCCACTCAGTGCACCTTCTGCACCTTCGGCAGCAACCTACTGATGGATGGCCCTTTGTTGGCTGCAGAAGAAGCTTCTATGAAATGTGATTCTGCATAAAAAAGTGTTCCTTTGAAAAATGATGTGTCTAAACTTACTGTACATTTAGTGACGCCATTTCGTGAAGTATAACCTCATATCAAAAGTATGACCCCGTAGAAGTACTGGCCAAAGCTGGAAGGGGTCCTGCAAGGAAATCCTACCCTCCCGTTTTTTTTTTGAGGGTGCTAGGTCAACACCATCAATTGCCCTCCTCTTGTTTTCAGGGGTACTTAGGTCCACGCAGGAGGACCAAGGCTAGTCAATCTTCGGCCTTAAGACACGAATTTTGTTAAATAATCTCTTATGCAGCAGTAAACGATCTCACTGTTCTAAACCGAATACGATTCTATAATCGAACTCTTGGTCAATACTGCGGTAACACCGCCACCTGCAACTGTCATATCTTGGCATAGGCCTCCAGTAGAGTAAAGTGGTATGTTACCACTTCGATTGGCCTACCTCAAAAATTTAATAACCCCAAATTATGCTCAATCCTTTCGCAAGCTGCTTGCTGCAACCCTTGAAACCCAGCTATTGTTGTACAGCTCGAGCTGATTCTTGGTGTTGGCCGTTCCCATTTGATGCACAGCGCTGGCGCCACACCCACTCAGACAGGGAACGCAAAAAGATGACGGCTGATGGGAAAGTCGATTTTGACATGGGAATTCGTCACTATAGTTCAAGCACTCTAGCTATCGATTTCTCAACAGAAAAATATCGTGGGTAATACTACAATACGATTATTTTTATTGATTGAAGGTTGCTCTGAATGAAAAATCGGTAGAAGGGTGTAGTACAGGTGTAAGCTCTGGGTAGACAGCTCATCTAAACGCTTTTCCCAAATGATCTTCAGCAAAATATCATATTTTGAAAAGTGCAGGTCCACAAAAGTAATAAATCTTTCCAACCACGAGACTGAGAGCTATCATCCGTTGTGTTATCGAGTAAGCGAATTTTTATTCAGGATACCAAGATAACTAATGAGTTTTGGCCTGGGTTCAGTCAAACACGCTCATTGTGAGTTAGCCATGGTATTGTACTTGAGATAA